ACGAAGAAGAATATTATTATATATATATTTGTTTGTATTGTATAAATAATTCTTCATAGATGATGGCGTATGATGGGAAAAGAAGTCTTATTGGAGTTATAATAAATATTACTTATAAATTGAATTTGCAACTACCTAATTAAAATAATTAATTACATTATAATAAAATAGTTCGAATTGATCTGAGGAAATCGAATTATAATTTAAGTTGTTTAATATTTACTAAAATTATTATTTTCACCGATTAACGGTTCGAGATACAATAATGATTCACAGGTTAGTATAATAAGTGTTAGTTTTTTATTATAAATAAAATTATAATTTATAAATAAATATATTTTTCTCAAAAGTTCTAAACAAATATGATTTCTAACAATAATGAATTATTATAATGTATTTGAATGATTAATAAAAATTATTTATATTAATGATTCATAAATACAGTTTATAAATATATATATAAAAAAACAATTAATGGTAATTTCTTTCAAGATCATTCAATTTAGTGGACATAGGAACAATGGAAATATTAAATAATGTAACCTTAGGTATTTAATAAGGTGACGCGTACAAGTGAAAACCATTATAATAGGTATGATCCTATAAGAAGATTGACGGAAATTAGCATAAATCTAAAATTGTAATAAAACATTTTTTTTACGTGATAATTGCAAAAACATAAAACTAGGATTTAAGTAATTAAATTCAAAAACTTCAAGTTTTAACTGAAAATCATCCAGGGATCATTTTTACCTCAGTGTATTGAAGAGATTCAGACAGAGGTCTGGGGGCTGGACTCGGATTAATACATCCCCAGCACCCCCCCTGTAAGAAATAGGGATAACTTTGGAAGGGATAAAGCACTAACGACGGGATAAAGTGCACTAACGAGCACTAACGAAGCACAAACGTATTAAATTAGTTTGGACCCGAAATTCGAAATGGGGGGTGCAGCATGTCCCCAGCACCCCCCAGTAAGAAATGCGGATAACTTTGGAAGGGATAAAGCACTAACGACGGGATAAAGTGCACTAACGTGCACTAACGAAGCACAAACGAATAAAATTAGTTTGGACCCGAAATTCGAAATGGGGGGTGCAGCATGTCCCCAGCACCCCCCAGTAAGAAATGCGGATAACTTTGGAAGGGATAAAGCACTAACGACGGGATAAAGTGCACTAACGAGCACTAACGAAGCACAAACGATCGCCCCGGGTTTGGACCCGAAATTCGAAATGGGGGGTGCTGGCATGTCTCCAGCACCCCCCTGTAAGAAATGCGGATAACTTTGGAAGGGATAAAGCACTAACGACGGGATAAAGTGCACAAACGAGCACTAACGAAGCACAAACGATCGCCCCGGGTTTGGACCCGAAATTCGAAATGGGGGGTGCTGGCATGTCTCCAGCACCCCCCTGTAAGAAATGCGGATAACTTTGGAAGGGATAAAGCACTAACGACGGGATAAAGTGCACAAACGAGCACTAACGAAGCACAAACGATCGCCCCGGGTTTGGACCCGAAATTCGAAATGGGGGGTGCTGGGGACATGGACCTGGCAATATCAGAGACGTGGTCTCGCGTTTCGATCGGACATAATGGAAACGCGCGAGTCGTATTTCCATTCAATTTGGCATGGGACACTCCTCGTTATTGTGCCATAATAATAATAATAATAATTGCAGCGATGCATTGTCGCCCAAGTATAAAAATCGAGTGTCTACTTCAACTGCTGCTGCTCCTGCTACTGCTACTGCAGCGCATTGTGCATTTGTGCACGGGTAAATCGCTTTAAATCCCGCGAGCCGACCCGGTACGATTATTGCATTACGCGTAGGTATATATAAATAGGGATAGCTGATATTATTATAATAATTGTATAAACCTATACCACCGCTGTTGCTGCATTGTAATAATATAGAAAGCTTCGATCGATATAGTCAGCTCTTTTCGACATCACGATCTATGCGCGGTGCATGTTTCGCGCACGACATAATACGTATATTATAATACCTAATAATATATATATATATGTAATATAATTAATAATATTATATATTATTTGTAATAATATATATATATTGCAGGCGTATGGAAATAAAATTACGTCTAATTTAGTCGAACGTTTTGATTCGTGTTTTTTTCGTGTTGGGTAACAAATACGCCGTCGTGTACCTATATCGACGGTTTAAAAATGTTATTCAAAATACAAACGGCCGTGCACGTGTACAATTCTATTAATATTATAATTTGGTTTCATATGGTATTAATTATTAAATAGTTATAAGTACGTATAACCATATTAAATATTATTACATATACTGTCGAAGTGGGTTACTCTTCAGATTCGTCTCCTGCAGTTTCGAATCATTGCCATTGTACCCATTAGTTTTCCTTCACTGTTTTGTACGCGATACCAGTTTACTACAACTAAACCGTAAGTGAACGATTAGTCTATTTTGTCGACATTTCGTTCAAAAACTAGTTATTGGTTTGGGTTTTGGAGTCTTAAGACGTGCGCACCATGTTAGACGCCGCTCACAAGTCCCATATAAATGTTTTGTAATCTTTCCGTGCGTGAGGTCTATTACGAAATATATTTATCTAAAACGCGGACCAAAGTCGACTCACGAATAAGTCGCTTGTGATGAGAACGGATGGCGCGTTACGTGGTCGTATACGTCGTTACAGGTGTCCCACAGTGTTTGGATTTGTTTTCACGGTGGGATAACACGCGGTGTATATCTCCGCAAACTCGTCGAGGAGAACGTAAGAAGCTATATAACATACCCAGGTGTTTTGGACATATTTTGTAAAAACATAAAAAATGTTATAAAATTATAATATAAAATACATAACACAGCAACGATATAGAGCTCTTGTTAAATGAAATTGTATATTATGTATAGTTAGGCAAAGTGATTAATGATTATGCTGCATACGTTCTCCGATAAAAACTGATTTTATTATATAGTTATTAGGTACCTAATAATATACTATGGAATATTTGACAGACGAGAGATTCACTTCGAATCAATGCAGTAAATAGCTAGTATAAAAATATATTATATCTACCTATATAGTTAACTATTTAAGTATATTATTAAATTCCTTATTAACGGAGAACAACAAATTTTAAGTAGGTCGGAAACACTGATTTTGAGAAGCATTGCAGCGGTTTGTCCGAAAGAATTTGAGATAAATAATTTGAATAGTATCAAGCCAAATGTTGTACCTAAATTATTATACACATTATATTTTCATTGTGTTAAATATATTGTTTATCATGGTAAACATATAACTATATTATATTATACACAATATTTCGCGTAGGTATAATACTTGTAAAGTTTACAGTTTGAGTATGTTTATTACCAGTGTATTTAAAATTTAAATGTATCATTAATTATGCCCACAGTATTGACAATTTAAAATATTCGATAGATAAAGCATGGTTATATTGGCAAGGTATGTCGTATATCGGTAATTTCAGGGCCTAAAATAAATGAAACTTCGTACTACACTATTTTATAATTTCACATAATTTAATATGAGTTCTCCCTCTCTAAAAATAAATTATACCTAAGTTAAATTTTTTTTTTTTTTATTTGAAAATTTAACATAACACCTGTCACCTGTATAGAATAATTAAAAGTATAATCTAAAATTATATTTAAAACTGTATTTTTCCAAGTTCAATATTATTTGTTAAATTATATTTTTCTTTGACTTCTTCAAAAACCCCTTGATACCATTCCTGATTTTTGCATGTGTATGCATTTCTTAATGTCTTTTTTTTTTTTTTATCTAATTAAAGACAGCTGGTTGAGGATCAAACTCGTGTAAGCTGACATGTTTATTTTCACATACAGAGAATCTTTCATTACTGTAGGCGATAGAGAAGATCTTGTTGCAGTTTTTACAGTTTTTTCTAACAAAAAAACGATCCATAGCACCGTAGTAGTGTACTAGTGTAGTACTATACTAAATAATAATATATTATACTTCGCTTGGTGGACCAGAATCAGAAAACATTAATTAATAATTTTATTTTGCTGATATTTCATTTATCACAAAATAAGTTTTACTACGTATCTATTTATTTATTATTTATCGACGCCTCAGAGGCATTAGTTTAGTACAGATTATAATAATAGAAATTACATAATATTAAAAGGTAAGAAAAAAGTACATTGGTGCACGAATAAAGAATAGGCTAAAGAAAATATTAACAAGTACAATTTTTTAGTTTTAGAATTAATGATGGCAAAGAATCGTTAAAAATATCAATATTTGACATATTATTAATAGATCGACAAGCACGATCAAGAGGGGCTGCGTAACCATAGTCAGTGGTGTGAAAATTCGTTTTAAAAGTTTGGGGGTTTCTGGAATAAAAAGAAGGAACGGCTAAAGATAATTTAGCAGTAAATCAGGAGCATCAATATCATTGTTCAATAATTTGTAAATAAAGGTAACATCAAATTCAACACGTCTATCAGTTGGAGATTTAAAAGTATACGGGTTAATCCCGCAACGAAATGTGCTCATTTTTATAAATTTATTTTGTACTTTATTTATTCGATTAATACGTAATTGTTGATGGGGTGACCAAATAATATGACCAAATGTATACATAATTGATAATAATATTATAATATTTTATTCTGTGATAATATCTTAGTTAGTTCATGGAATCATACAACCACTTACCACAGAGTAACAATAAAATAATAATATTTATAGCTTATAACCATGAACATTAGAGTAAGGACACCGATCACGGCCGGCTGGACAGAAAAAAAATGGTCCCGAATTTGTAGCTTCCGCTAGAGCGCGCTACGGAGTAGTAGTCATACTCGTTTTATACAACTGCCATAGGACATTTCGTGGTTTTTTATTAAAATAACTAGTAAGAAGCATTCTTAAAGCATTTCTTAAATTATAGTATTCTTGTATATGGTAAGAAGTTTTTTAATTTGTCTCCTTAAGACTTAAACATGTCACGAAATTGTTTTGTCCCGTTGTGTAAAGAAGGATACCCCTCTACCAGGTCTACTAACAAGGTATTGGGAATTCGAAACAAAACATTGTTTAAAGCACCTAAGGTAAACTATGTTTAAATATATTATCATACTACTTTAATATAGTATTAGAATTTAGGATAACCATAATTTTAATCTAAATTGTGACGTGATACACTTATGAGTTAAGAATAATGTTGTAAGTTACTAAGATGTGCCATACACAATTTACATGTATACCAAGTACCTCATCATAGTCGGATATCCTATGACATATTAAGGGGGACTTTAATGTTTGGTAGCATGTTTTTTAGAAGGGCTCAAAGTTAAAATTATTTATTATGCCCCCCCCCCCCCCCCTCAATCTCTGTCTATGTACCTCATACTTGTACTATACTACTATAATATATTATTATGCAATATTATATAACTAATTGATTGCCAACAAGCAAAAGTACCTACCTACCTATATTATAATCTTACCTATACAATAAATATTCTACTTTTTACAGGATCCTAAAGTCTTAGCACAATGGGTTAAAGCAATTCCACGATCAGATCGAGATTTGAGATCAGGGATAGACCGTGTGTGTGAAAAGCATTTTGCTGAAACCAGTCTGATAAAATATTTTGAAAATGTAATGGCAGATGGTTCAATCCAAAAAATTGAAAGGGATAGAATTTGTTTAAAAGAAAATGCAGTACCATCATTGTTTCCAGATCTACCACATTACTTATCTTCTATAAAAAAAATACGAAAACCCCAAGTTCGACATTTGAACACAAAATCTAATAATGCTGAAACTCCTAACCTCAATAGTTCATTTAATACTACAATTATCGAATATGATATATTTTACAATATTGTGAATCAATTGAAAAGTACCATATTACCTGATGCCACATTTATTTCCATGGTAAAAGATGATTTGGTTATTGGATGGTTTAATAATGACAAGGATACAGTGTTCAAAAAAATTATCATTTATAAAGATAATCTTAACATACAAGTAGGTGTAATGTTATATTTACAATTCAATCATAGGTATTATAAAGAGAGTATTTAGCAATTACTATATTTTAGGTGTTTGTAAGCAAAGTCATAGTGAATGTTGAAGGAATAATGCAAACTGCTACAGACTTTGAAGATATTGAAAAAATTATAGCTATAGTAAATAATTTACAAGCTTGCAGTGGCACTGGTCTTGATAAAAGGTATAGGATAATAATAGTTTGTTAATTTGTGTTTGTATAATTTTTTACTTATATTTTTATAGCCCACAATCAGTTGCATGCTATGGTTATGTTGATGCAAAGAAACCAGGCACATCATTTACAGATTCTCGTTGCACTGTATGCTCTAAAGAAAGAAAAAATATGATAGATCTTCAGAGAATATATACTTTAAGACAGAGAGAAATAAAAAAAAAATTAAAGAAACAGAAAAGCATAGGTAGAGTCAAAAACATTACTCGAAAGAATAGCAGACTTAATAATAAAGTATGTAATTTTGGAGTGTTGTAAAGTATTTGAGTAAAAATATGATATATATACTGTATTTTTTTGTCATAATATATTATGCCTTGTAGCACCCTATTTTATACTGAATTATTATACTCATAATTATTATTTATTATATTAATATATATGATATTTTTATTATTTACTTTAAGCTTCTGTATGTCTGTGTACTTCAATACTAATTATTGTATTTATTGCTCTAATTGTTATAAGCATGAACATTAGAACTCTAATATATATATAAGTTAGTATCTAATGTATATATAGTTATAAGTTATTAATGTATATATAGTTATAAGTTATTAATATATATATTAAGTTATATGTTATAATATTATTATCCACATGTTCTCTAATTATATGTTTAATTTTCCTTTTTCTTTATATTAGATTATTTAATAAATAAAAACTTAATTTAATTTATTAACCTAAAATACTTAACTAGCTATATTTTTCTAGGTGTTAAAGTTAAAAGAAAAGGTAGGTTTGTTAAAACAGAAGTGTGCTACTGCATCTGCTGCAGTAATTGAAAATGAATTAACCAGGTTGCCTGAAAGTCAGCAAGAAGCAGTACGTGCTTGTTTTGCTGCTGCTAAATTAAAAGATCCTAAAGGAAATCGTTATTCTATTAACTGGATTTATGAATGCCTTTTGGTTAAAATAAAAAGTAGAAAAGTTTATGAACATCTTCGTACAAAAAAAATATTAGCATTACCCTGTATAGATACTTTAGGGAAATATATATCCAAAATGTCTGGTCAGTATGGTTTTCAACAAGCCATTTTTGATCTTTTAGCAAAAAAAGCAAATTGTATGGCTCCTGAAGATAAACGAGGTTAATTTTTTTAGATATTCCTTTTATCATAGTAAACAGATTTAAGTAGAAATTAATAATACATTTTATTTTTTTTAGGAATTCTATTATTAGATGAAATGAAATTAAGTGAATCAGTTTCATTTAATAAAAAAACTCTAAAGGTTAATGGTTTGGTTAACTTGGGCAATTATACTCCCGAACATCAGATAAATAGTAAAGGTGATCATGCCTTGGTTTTAATGTACCAACCATTTCGAGGAAAGTGGGTCCAGGCCTTAGCAGTTTTTTTGAGCAAAGGTTGTGCTTCAAGTACAGTGTTACATAAGATTGTTATGGAATGTGTTATTCTTTTGGAGAGATCTGGTTTCCATGTAGACGGCATTGCAACTGATGGCGCTACTTGGAATCGTAGTATGTGGACAAAGTTTGGAATTTCGTCTGAAAATGTTAGTTGTGAACATATTTATGATTCATCAAGAAGGCTATGGTTTTTGTCAGATTTTCCCCACCTCATTAAGAATTTCAGAAATTGCATAGTGAAACAAAGTGAATTTTGGGTAATATAATTATAATTTGTTTTAATATTAGATCAAATATTAATACAATGATTTCTTTAAGTTGATTTATATTTTATTTTTAATAACTAGTACTTCATCTCATCTTTGCCTACCAAAGTTATATCATCATATACAATTTATACATAAATATGTTTAATAATTTCATATTTTATATATACTATATATAAAATAATATATAGTATTATATATATATAATATACTATATATTTCATTTTTTATATATACTTCTTTATTATTTATTACTCTGATTACACTTTTTATTATTTGTGTAGTATTTTTTTTTATTAAACAATTATATGTATGGTTGTAATTATATTTAATAAACATAAATATTAAGTTTTGTCTTTGTCAAAAGTCACTTAATTAAAATATAAATTAAACAAAGCATTGCTCATTCCAACATTTTGGTCTGCAAACTTTATAGGTACATTTTATTAACACCAAAAAAATTTAATTTTTTACTTTTCTCGTTGTATTCAATAACAGACACCAGATGGAATAGTAAAGCTAAAACATTGGGATGCCATAATAACTTCTGAAAATCCTTTTGGTTATAATTTAAAATTGTGTCCTGGTTTAAGTAATGATGACGTACATCCTAAACCCTATCAAAAAATGAATGTTGGCAGAGCATACCGTGTATGTATTAAATATTTTGTAAATTTAATGTATAAATTAATTTTTGATTTATTATATTGTAACATATATAAATACTATTGTATATTTAAAGTTTTTTGGTGAAAAAACTGCTATAGCTATGGAGATTTATCGAGAAAATAATGTGGATTTAATTGATTGTGAACCATCAGTTATACTTATTCGTCGAATTAATAGTTTAATTCAGGCCATGGATTCTCGAATTCCTAGCAATAGTCTCAGGAAAGCTTCTCCTGAATATGAAGTAGGTTAAAATTTTATTTTTCTGTATTTTTTAAAAAATTAAATCATTGATCAATTTTGATTTTTTGTTAGGTAATCAAACATTTTATACATTATTTAGATGAATGGCATGATACTGCAAAAAAAAACAACTATAATTTTTTGACTGATAGCACATATTTTGGCTTAAAAGTTTCACTTAAGGCCACTCTAGAAATTTTTGACTATCTTGAGACTTGTTGTGACTATCATTTTTTAATGACAGCTAGATTAAACCAGGATAATTTAGAGGTATTTATTTTGTTTACAATATTTAAAATAAATCCTTAATGATTGGCTTTATATTAATAATTTAGAAAATTATTTCAAACATTTTTTTAGAGATTCTTTTCAATGATGCGTAGTTCATGTGGATCTAATGATCACCCAGATTCGGTATTATTTGTTCAAATATTCAAACTAATTTGCACTTATTCATTGGTAAAACCACCTAAAGGATCAAATATAACAGGGGGTGAACTCTTGTCATCGTTATTTAGTATAAATGACTTGAACACGCAAGAAGATAAACGTATACAATTTCGCCAAGCTATAGACAATATAATAGATCAAGGGTCAGATTGCCCTGATGTCATGGATCTTTTTTCTTCTTATTATGATCATGATTATACTGGTTTAACTGTGACAAATGATCCCGTGTTAGCATATATTGGAGGGTATGTAGCTAGGAAAGCAACACGATTTACAAAGTGTTTAAATTGCCTCTCATCTCTGAAATCAGAAATATCTCATTCAAGAGATGTTTTCATTGATAAATTATCTCATGGACATCTAATAAAACCATCGGAAAAATTATTTAAATTAATAAGTACTATGGAGGCTGCGACGCTTTATGTTTTAAATGAAGAAGGACTTAGCAGTGAAGTACTATTTAGCATTTGTTCTAAACTTGAACAGATAGAGTCACTACAACTTATTGGATGTGATCTCCATGCAGATGGCTTAACATCTTCTATAGTTAACTTCTTTCTTATAACAAGGGTACATTTTGTTTGTTCTCGATCCAATTCTATAGACAATGCAAAGAAAGAAAAATCAAAACTTCATAGAAAGTCTGCAAAGTTAGTTTAAGGCTTAAGCACCTAATGCTAAGCCATATTTACATTATTTTATTACCTACTTACACGATTTTGTTTTTTATACGCCTATGTATGTAATAAATAATAATATTATTATGTTTAATGTTGTTAATAAGCTCATATGCTTTTTTAATTAATTAGTTCAAATAATCAATAATATACAACATTTATATTTAAATTTTTATTATTTTTATTGAAACTGATCTGCTCTTTAAATTGTGTTGTATAATATTTGGTCATAAGTTTTATAATTTAGGATAAAATGACTAAAGACCACAAAAGTTCCTATGCTTCTAATGTTACAGTAGTATGACTGCCGTTCTGCAGCGCGCTCTAACGGATGCTACATATCTAGTCCCTCTTTTATCTGTATAGATCGGTGTCCTTACTCTAATGTTCATGCTTATAACATTGATTAAATATACATCATGCTATTATTAGTTTTTTCCAATGGCATTATCAATGCATTTTATCACACACACACACACACACATGTAATTTATCAGTTAATATAACCATAGATTAAAATTCAAATTCAAAACTAAAAAAAAAATAAAAGTTAATAAAAACCAGTCACAAAGTCTAAATATAACACTAAAATAATCAACACACATTTTCATTTTGTACTGCACTATTCCGATTTCGTACTGCACTAACAGTGTCGTACTGCACACTATTTTAGGCCGTGGGTAATTTTATTCATTAGATACGAAGTCACACACACATAATGGCAAAACCTATATGGCGTAAGTTCAGGGGCGGACTGGGCCGGCGGGATACCGGGAACTTTCCCGGTGGGCCGCTACTCAAAAATAATTAGTTACCTATTATTATTTATTTATAACAAAATCAGTAGGTATAAATATAAATTATAAATATTTTGTATTTTCATATCATAACTGTTGAGTGTGCAAAATGTTTATATTATATTTGGTGTTAAAGATTTCGTTAGTGATTTCGGTTCAGCTGGTTGACCAGCCCCTCGGCATCAATGCATAAACAGAAATTATTATTTATAACTACTAGGGTGTGAATTTGAAGATAAATTGCATTTTTTTCTGGATTCTCTTAAACATTGCTTTCCAATCAAAAAATGTATTTCATACATAAAATAATTTAAAAATTAAATTTTTATTTAGCATTTTTTTAACTTTACTGATTTATAGAACATTTTTTTGACGTTTTTATGACATTTTTATCGTTTGAAGGAATTTTTCGTAAATTTTATGAGTATATATACAATTTTATAAACACTATTAGCTTAAGTTCCTTCAAGAAATTTAATATAATTAAAAATCATTTTTTCTTACTAATATTTCTATTTTATTACGTTTTATTTTATTTTGTTTGCTCCTATGACTTCAGTTATACAAAACAACACTTGCCAATTCTAACTGTCAAAGTTTTTTATTCAAAAATATTGATTAGCTTCTGATTGAAAAGTGATTATAATGAAACACAATATATGACGACTAACGACTAATGACTATACCTATTTAAGTTCTATTTTATTTTCATTTAAATTGGCTTTTCATTTTTCTGGGCATTTTACTAAGCTTTGTAATATTGTTACTGTGCATAAAATCGTATTTTTAAGGCATTGTTTTTTTTATTGCATTTATATCCATGCCCTATTTATAACATAATATGACTTTATTCTACAGTCGATTAATATATCCACTTCTAGCCAGCCAGTATTTACTTAATATAACTAACATTAAATTGTACACAATAAAAAATATAATATAAATATATTGTACCTACATAATAGTAAAATATAAAAGATAATTTGTGATAATTTGATGGGAATTAATAAGCTGATAACTAAAGGTACAGTTTCGTACGTTCAATGTAACGTCCTTAATTCAAAAAAGTGAATTCTTGAACTTCTTTTTTATTTTATTGTAGTGTACTAGTGTATCGTTTGATGATTTTGTAATATTTACTTATCTATTTGTTGTTTAAAATGGAAACTAAAAGAAAGAGTGGGGTTGAAAAAATCAGAGAGAGAGAGAAGGATACTCTTAGAAAAATCAAGTTAAAGTAGTTTAAACGAACCTATTTTTTTCATCCGTTATGGATCACTTATAGAGTAGGTAATAGAAAAAGTGATATATGCATAATACTGTGCAGTACATTTAATTAAGATAAAATACTAAATAGGTACATTGAGAATCTTAAGTTGTCTCCTGAGGAAATTAAAAATGAGTAGGTGGAGGATGCAACCATTATTTGTCATAACTTTGGTACCATATTTAAGTCTTACATTTAGTGATGACGACATTTTAAGGGCCGGTCAAAATATAAATTTCCCGGGCCGAATAGTTGCCCCAGTCCGTCCCTGCGTAAGTTTGTGACGATTATTTTTTGCCAAACGAATACTACTAACTACTAAGTACTAAAGTTTATTATTTCGTACTATATTCAGCCGATACCTTTTATTCGGCAATGGTAACCACTATAATAACTGAACATGCTATCACGCATTAGCCATTTTAGGTACCACTCCAGTAATCATGCTAAAAATACAACACATTTTTACAAATGTGAATAAATATTTTTCTTTTTTCACTTGTTTAGGATCGAGAAAGATAAACTATTATCTTGAAACGACTCCTATTGATGAAAATTTTACCATAAACCTCTATTGTCAGTAAAATGTTCACTCAGCGATGATTCATTCTATTCACTAGCCAAATATATATACATCTATTATAATATATTTATTAATACTATTTATTGTACTTAAAAAAAAAATAATAATACAAAAGTATTATCTCTATTGAGTCGGCTTCTTGTTTCTATACGTTAACGTTTCGTCACAGTTTCAAAGCGTATGGCCTTCAGGGAACTGACATTTTTTTGGAAATCAATTTATACTTAAATTTAAATTAAACATCTAATCTACAGGATTATACTACAAGTAAAATTAATTAACTAAAATACTCATAGTATAGGTACTTGTGGTCGACGTTTTATCGTTTTCGACTGAAAACGATCAAGAAATAAACTGAATAATATATTATACTTATAAGTTAATTATCCTCAAAATTGAATAATAACCTGGGGCATCCAAGGGTATTGCAAATATACCCAGAGCCAAACGAATACTTGTATTTTAAATTTTTAACGAAGCACACTCCGAGAAAATGTTAGGTGCTATACTACTCTGGACCATATAGCCACGGCCCCTATACTCCCCAAAAAAAATTAAAAATACGCCACTGATTATACTCAAGTAAGTAAGTCACAAGTAACTACAACTTACAACCAACACTTATATACTATATATATATATATATATACCAATACTATGCACCATAAGCAGATGTGTTCTTCTGTATTAGTATATCGTACATGACGAATTCATACAAACATGGATAATATTATAATGTACCTGTTAACACTTAATATAATAATATCATCATCGAGTTGACATGGGAGTCGTGTATGGCACAATGGTACATCTGCACTGCAGACGAGTCTGCTAATAAGTCGTAGCACGTTAGACGCGATTATGCAGCGAATGATGAATATTATATACGTCTATGTTATATACATAACGTATTTTGTAATGGAAAAAAATCGAAGTAATCCTCAGACGGAACGACACGCAGACACGAGGAAACGCGAGGTTATACGAGGTTGTGAACACTTCTCGAGGATTACGCATCGTGTACAGATTACAACAGAATTTATTAAATATTTTTTTTCACCTGCAACACCGTTGGAAAAACGTTCGCAACGACGCGTGCGAATTAAAGTTGGTTTTTATACGGTAGGTAGGTATATACCTATTTCGGTACCTCACCTCACCTATCAGTGACGTATATTTTACAGGACTGGCTCCAGGTCAGCCCCACATTAAAATTATGGAAAAATCATTTTCGAAATATTCTGTTGTTGTTGTACTCATTTATTAGAATTTAAAAGATAAAGTTCAAAGTTTAACAACTTATAATTTGCCAGCAGACCACAGGTAACTACCCTATCTTCAATATATTGTTTTTAACTCAGTGTCCTAGTAGTCTACCCCTACATTTTCTGTTCCTATAACTACAGTATAATTAGTAATTAATAACTAGAATAGTCTGGGTGGTTGGTGGGTATTTGATACGATACATTATTATTATTTATTATTTGAATTATTTTATTATAATATTAATTGATATTGTTGTTGACAATTTTTATACGCCCTGCTGCAGCATCATGGCGGTAAAAACATTGCGATCACATTTTGTCGGATAAATAACGTCAGTCCGAAAACTACAACAGATTATAATAACGTACGATTATTTTTTGTAAATACAAATAGGTAGGTACCACATATTGTGTAACTATGTACTACGACCGACTTTGAATTATCTATGTACCTATACATATATATATATATATATAAATATAACAATCATAACTTCATTGCGCATTGCGTAACAAGTGTACGTCTGTAACGCAAAATTATTGACATCTTATTAAAACAAAAAAAAAATAAATACTAAAGTATAATACAGTTCAACGTCCTTACAGTGATCGTTCTCGGAGTAAATATTATTCCGTTCATTTGGAATATTGTGCTATTTATTTTTTTTACCGTCTATTATACCATCGGTTAGCATGTTATAATTCAGCTGGTTTACCCGTACAATATGCGTGATTATAATCAGTGCCTATTTTTTTTTTTATGTAGACGATTTTATTACGACGACATAATATTATAGTGGTTAAAAAAAAATGCGCTGTGTCCTATATTAATATTCAAATTTTCGAAAACCCGTCTTACAAAATAACGCGTACTTATACGTTACAACGGAATAGATACACACAGATTTTGGGTTCACGGAACGAAATTACTGACGGTGAGATAATATTGTGGGACTGGAAAACAAGTGAATATCATCGAATATCCCAAATAAATGTTTGCGGAATCCGATTTATGTCGTTTACAATATAATACTATATTATAATATAAGATAAGATAATGTGAACTTTATT